GGAAAGGGAAGAGGCCCTGGATAAGTAAAGCATTACTCAAGAAGAAGAACAAAGTGGGAGGCCTCACACTACCTGATTTTAGAACCTATTATACCACCACGGTGTCAAAACAGCCTGGTACTGGTATTACAATAGATACACAGACCAATGGAACAGAACTGAGAATTCAGACGAAAATTCATCCACCTATGAGCAGCTGATATTTGACAAAGGCCCAAAGTCCGTTAAATGGGCAAAAGACAGTCTCTGTAACAAATGGTGCTGGTATAACTGGATATCTATCTGTAAAAAAATGAAACAAGACCCATACCTCATACAGTGCACAAAAACTAACTTAAAGACCTAAATATAAAATCTAAAATGATAAAGATCATGGAAGAAAAAATAGGGACAATGCTAGGAGCCCTAATCCATGGCATAAACAGAATACAAACCATTACTAACAATGCACAAACACCGGAAGAGAAACTAGGTAACCGGTAACTCCTAAAAATCAAACACTTATGCTCATCAAAAGATCTCACCAAAAGAGGAAAAAAGACAACCTACAGACTGGGAAAAAATTTTTGGCTACGACAAATTCAATCAGCATCTAATCTCTAAAACCTGCAGGATACTGCAAAACCTCAACTACAAAAAGACAAATAACTAATTAAAAAATGGGCGAAGGATATGAACAGGCACTACACCAAAGAAGACATTCAGGCGGCTAACAGACACATGAAGAAACGCTCACAGTCATTAGTCATTAGAGAAATGCAAATCAAAACTACTATCAGATACCATCTCACCCCAACAAGGCTAGCATTAATTCAAAATACACAAAATAATAAATCTTGGGAGAGGTTGTGGAGAAACTGGAACACTTACACACTGTTGGTGGGAATGTAAAATGGTTATAACCACTTTGGAAATCGATTTGTTGCTTTCCTAAAAAGCTAGAAATAGAAGTACCATATGATCCAGCAATCCCACTCCATGGAATATATCCTAGAGAAATAAGAGCTGTCACACGAATAGATATATGCATACACATATTCATTGCAGCAGCGTTCATGATAGCAAAAAGATGGAAACAACCTAGGTGCCCATCAACGGACGAGTGGATAAACAAATTACGGTATATTCATACAATGGAATACTACGCAATGATAAAGAACAACGATGAATCCATGAAACATAACATGGAGGAATCTGGAAGCCATTATGCTGAGTGAATTTAGTCATTTGCAAAAGGACAAATATTGTATAAGACCACTATTATAAGAAGTCAAGAAAGGGTTCAAACACAGAAGAAAACATTCTGTGATGGTTACAAAGGTGGGGAGGGAGGGAAAGGGGTATTCACTAACTAGATAGTAGACAAGAATTATCTTAGGTGAAGGGAAAGACAACACACAGTATGGGGGAAGTCAGCACAACTGGACTAACCCAAAAGCTAAGAAGTTTCCTGAATACAACCAAACACTTCGAGGGACAGATTAACAGGGGCAGAGGTCTGGGGACCATGGTTTCAGGGGACATCTAGGTCAACTGGCATAACAAAGTTCATTAAGAAAATGTTCTGCATCCCACTTTGGTTAGTGGCATCTGGGGTCTTAAAAGCTAGCGAGTGGCCATCTAAGATGCATCAATTGGTCCCAACCCACCTGGAGCAAAGGAAATGAAGAACACCAAAGACACAAGGAAAGTATTAGCCCAAGAGACAGAAAGGGCCACATAAACCAGAGCCTGCATCAGCCTGAGACCAGAGGAACTGGATGGTGTCCTGGTACCACCAATGACTGCCCCGATAGGGAACACAACAGAGAGTCCCTGATGGAGCAGGAGAAAAGTGGGGTGCAGAACTCAAATTCTAGTAAAATGACTAGGCTTAATGGTTTGACTGAAACTGCAGGGACCCCGGAAGGCATGGCCCCTGGATTCTCTATTAGCCCAAATCTAAAACCATTCCCAAGGGGGAATTCTTCAGACAAAGATTAGACTGGACTATGTGATATAAAATGATACTCATGAAGAGTGTGCTTCTTAGCTCAAGTAGATACATGAGACTAAATGGGCAGCTCCTGTCTGGAGGCAAGGTGAGAAGGCAGAGGTGGTCAGGAGCTGGTTGAATGAACTTGGGAAATCCGGGGTGGGAAGTAAGAATGTGCCATCACATTATAGGGATAGAAACTAGGATCACCTAACAATGTGTGTATAAATTTTTGTATGAGAAACTAACTTGAACTGTAAACTTTCATTTAAAGCACAATTAAAAAAAAAAAAGCCTAACTGACATTGAAATATATATATTTTTTCCTTCTGGGACAATGGTTTTTAACTTTTGTGGCTTCAGATTCCTCTGAGAAGAAAACTATGAACTCATTCCTCAAAAAAATGTATCTGAACACATGTGGGCACACACACTCACAGACAATAAAAACCCCAAATTTTCAAAAGTTAATGAACAAATTTGGGGTGGTAGATATATTTTATATATAATCTTCTAAAATCTCTTTTTTATATCCTTTTTATTTATGTCTCTGTTGACTTCTACTGCCATCCCTAAGGTGAAGACTTTATTAGTTAATTTTCTAGTTTTCCTACCAAAAAAAAAAAACACACCTACTTGGCAATACTGAGATACAGGTTGACACACAGTTTGTGCTCAGGTCAAAAAGCCTCAGCTAACTATGTTACAGCTTGCCTAAACCTGGAAGTTAGTATTTTTCTATTCTGAAGGTTTACCTTGGCCCATTTTGAGGATACTCTCTAGAACCCTCAAGGGTAAAGAGCCATTAAAACGACTGAGGGGAAGGCTAGTCTACATTGTTGAAAAGTTTGAATTATTAAATATAAATTAAAAAGAAAGTTCTATTATTGTCTAGTATAGCCAACACTACATATTGCTTACTAGTTTAAAGCTTTAACGACTATTTAAGAACGTGATATAATTTGTATAGTCACTCATTCACTCAGCAAACATTTCAGCAACTCTGGGCACCGTGGGGGACAGCATTAGGATGAAATCACGTTGCTAGCAGTTTTAGGAGCAGAAATGGCCACTAGAGAAATAACCACATTACATAGTTTCATAAGAGTGATACAAATAAGGCTGTATGAAGTTCAGAGAAAGGAGAGTAACTTTAAATGAGGTAAGACAGGTGTGTGTGTTTTTCTGAAGGCTTCCTGAAGGTATTTCTTTTCTTTTTTTTTTTTTTGAGTCTTGAAGAATAGGTAGTCTCTATCTCTAAAAACATATGTGACAAGTTCCTAGGGGGAAAATAACACCTTTCAAATTTACTTATGATACTAATTTGTTTGGAAAAAAAACTTTTTTACCTATTGATAGTACAAAGGATAAGTTTACTTTGGAGTAAGAGCCTGGTTCACCTATTTTGTCCCCTTTATTTATGCAGTGTTCTACTTGGTAATACTTAAACACATAATGGAGAAAGAATGCTTCAGCTCCTTATTCCTTTAACCTTATTGCCATCATGAATTTACCTTGATTTCTGGTAATGGGTATTTTAGCTTAGCATGAGTTCTCTTATCAACTCTATTTCTCTATAGTAAGATCAAGATTATTATCATCTTTCTATTTCAGCTTTTCTGAATATTCTATCCCAAGCCATATTTCATTGTTTTTACTTTGGCAGTTTTCTTCTTCAGAGTAACTACTGACAATTCAATATTAATCATAACCTCTTTAGGGATAATTAAAGTGTTCTATTTCTTTTTTCCCACTGTTCTTACTTGCGCAGTCTCTGCATGTTCCAGCATCTCTTCAAATTCCTGATATTCTTCATCATCTGGTTCAGCACCTGAGAGGCGAGCTGCCCTCGCCATGAAATATGGAGGTAGCTCTCCGATTGCTGTACCAATACCCTAGATGAAAAACCAAAATATTCAAATGAGGTTCTGCTCGCAACACAGTAACACTAAATAGATCAAATCTAAAGTTATCTATATCACCAAAAGCATTCTGAGATGCAATGTACTGGGGGAAAGCATATGTTATATAATCAGAATGACCTGAGTTTGAATCCTAGCCCTGGATCTGTGCAATGCCAGGCAAGATAATAATATACATAAAAGTCTTAGACAACCCTTTGGTGTGTTCCAGACACTAAATCAATTTTTCTTCTCTAGCCTCTTAGTTTAGAAATAGTAATGAATTAAATCTAGAAAATACATTATTTTTATAACAATGTTATTAAATACTCATTTTTATTTTTTCATGATTGGAGCCAACACATGTACTTATATGGACATTTTTGGCAGTTTTTTTCCCTCCTGTTCTAATATTCAAATCATCTAGTAATGAGAATTCACCAGTACAGCTGTTAGATAAATATTTTCTAGGAAACCTTCTGGCACTTCGGATGTTGCTTTAATCCCAATACAACTTCTTTGTGTAGAGTTAAAACTTTTAACAAATTGTGGTCAGGAAGCTCCTTGAAAACTCAGCGTTAGGAAGGATAAATTTTCACCACAGGAAAAATGTTTATTTCCTCAGGACACTGAGTGACTCACGTTTTAATCACTTTGTGAACTTTTGTTTTTGAAGAGAATTTTTTTCATTTTGTTTTTTTTTAATCAACTTAGGACATAAGGATGAAAACAAAGGTTGATAAACTAGGATCTTGGTTTGGACTTCAGTGTCTTAAATACAGGATAGGTAATAATGCAACTGGCATATAGTCTCCAGGGAAATTCTCAACTTTGAGCCATACAGACATCTTTTTCCACTCTGAGTGTGACAGTGAATGAAAAAACTTTGATAGTTCTCCACAACAACTTTAAGCTTTTCAATTTGCTCTGTTCTGGGGCACTGCCTCCAGCTGCCTTGAAAATAAACCCCAGCAGACAAGATGAAATTCAAACATTTTGTAACTACATTGTTAAATGCCAATGTATAAAACCAACAATTTCTAAGTGTAACTACATTATCTACATGTAAAACAAGAGTTTTGAAAAAGAACTGACTTAAGTACCAAAAGAATAAGGTTATATTTAGTCAATGAAGGGATGGGGGAGAGAGACATACATAGAAGGATATAGGGATAAAACACAAATCATATTTTTGCTAAATAAGACAAGTTAAAGTCAGTCAACTTTGGAGGATGCTAAGGAACCAATCCACCATTTTAAAAACTGGCAAAGTCAAAGAAAATATAAGATAGAAATACATACGACTATGAAGTGTTATCTTGTGAAACAAAACAAAACAAACATAAAAAAAACCCTCAAGCCCCTAGATCTAACTATATCAGCTTACAGGAAACACAGAGAACAGAGGACCATGTTTAAACTATACCAACTGGAATACAATCAGCAAAATTGTGACTGAAAAACTCTATTTGATAAACAATGCAGTTTCTTTAACAAATAAATTAAAAAAGAAAAATAAACCAGGAAAATCTGAACACTAACTAGATAACTGATTTTAAGAAACTATTGTTAATTTCTTTTAGCTGTGGTAATGGTATTGTAGTTATTATTATTTTTGAAGTCCTTCCTTATCTTTTAGAGGTAAATTATGATATTTACAGATGAAATGTGATATGATATGATATATGATATGATTTCCTTCAAAATAATAGGAGAGTAGGGAGGGGTATAGATAAAACAACACTAGCCATGAGTTAATATTAGTTGAAGTTGAGTAAAAATATACTGAGCTCACTATACAATTTTCTCTGCTTTTAGATATGTTTGAAATAAAAAGAAAAAAAACTAATTGCCACATTTCATTCAAAACATGAACTTCCCTTAAAACCTGTTAAGTCAGTTTTCAAATAGCTCTGAAAGCAACTAGAAGATTCAAACTCATGACAAGTTTCCTTATAGTAAAAGGAAGTATTAAGTGGACTGAAATGAAATCCAGAGATCATACTTATACTTAGATACCATATTTATTGTATTAATTCTGCTTATGTTTTCCCATATTAACAAGGAACAAGAACTATTCTTATGGTGATCATGTGTCAGTATTCTTTTTATGCAAATAAATAAAAAGGAAATACAGTCACATACACAGGTCCCAAAAAACACATTATATTATAGACACAGAAATGTATGTTCTAGAGATAGTTACCTAAAATTAGATACTTAAGTCTTATAATTTCACAATTCTTATAAAACCACAAAAAACTACGGAACACTACAAACTGTGAGCCTAGGTTTAATTAAGGGGAGAGACTGACTGGCTTTCTTATTGTAAAAGAAACCCAATAAATCAAAATCGGAAAGCTCTTTTAAAAATCATCTGCTACGTACCAATGTATTATCTTGAATCATTAAGACTGGAGAAGCATGTAATATGCACAAAATATGCAAAGCCAAGGGATAAACACAGTATCTTCCTGAAGTGCCAATTTTATTCAAAGATTATTGGGGGAGAAATCCTAAATTTTTGTGCTTTTAAAAAGTTTTGTCAAGTGGATTCACAAGCAAACCAGGAGCCTCTTGTTATTCTATGTTGGGAAACTTATGTCTAGTGGTGAAAATCCGGAGAACAGAAATTTTTATATGTGCTGACTATTCAGAAAAGATGGTAGTTTTAATAGGATTTAACAATTGTTTTAATACTCTTTACAAATATCATTTTTCTATTAAATATTCCAACTAGAAACACTGGTGATACAGCCAAATTACAGAAATTCAAAAAGACACAAACTGAAAGACGCTCCCTACTGATCAACCACATCAAACAATCCATTTTAATGTGCTCCAAAGACCTACATGAACAAGCTGAGACACAGACATTGGCCCTGGTCTTTATGTTATAATTGGAAGAACCATGTATGTTAATGATTTTACTGACTCAATGTATTCATAATGATACTGAAGTGTATAAAAAATTTTTTAATTTGTAAAGTACAAACTAGATAAAAATTTTCAATAAGATTTATTAGTTTTGTTTATTTTTTTTTAATCAAGCAAGACATTATCCTGGGCAGGGGGAAATATGTGGAAGTGTACACAAATGGGATCAATTCCATGAAACGCCAAAGTATAAGAATCAAGGCCACAATATGCTGTAAATAACCTTTTCTCATCCTTGGTACTATTGACATTTTGGGCCGGATAATTATTTGCTGTCCTATGCACTGTAGGATGTTTACCAGCATCCCTGGCTTCTACCTATTAGACGCCAGTAGCATACTCCCAGTTGTGACAACCAAAAATGACTCTAGACATTGCCAAAATGTCCTGGATTGAGGTGGGTGGTGGTGGTAAAATTGCTTCCAGCTAAGAACTACTGTTCTAAATGGACAAACCGGCACTAAAACATTCATCAAAATCGTATTACCATAAAAGATTTACCTCTTCATTTCTCAGTGGGTTCAAGACGGTGGTAAAGATGATAAAGTTTGTAAACCACTATGCAAAAAACTGTTGCCAAGAGTTTTCACATTTATTAATTTGGGTTGTCAAAATACTGTGATACTAAGAGAAAAGAAATTTCCTAGATCCTGAGCATGGTGCAATGTCTATCTTTTCAAACATTCGATCCAATTTTCTGAAATGGGCAGACTAAAATGAACAACATTCTGTCCATTAAAAAAGACTCGCTGCAAAGCAATTTTCCCCTTGATGATTATTTAAAACAACTGATATATTTCGAAGTGGTTATGAATGAAGCATGGTCTTAAGTCAATGAATTCACTTTTCATGGTAAATCTACATGTGGACTATAGTTTAAGAGTAGAGTCTAGAAGAGACACTGTCATATGAAAATTTTAGCTACTACAAAGGTTTAGTATTTCTGTTGTTAGCATATTTCATTCTACTAAATTAAATATAATTATATTCTTGAATCTAACAAGAATTTTGAGACTTATAGAGATTATGAATCTCATGTTAAGTAACACAGTGTAAATGGATTTAACTAGGATTGACTCTGAAACCCAGGTTGTTTCCACTATGTTTGTTGTCCCCCCTTCCAAATATTCAATAGTTCATTACAGCTCTACTATAACATCTATCCATACATTCGACACTTTTTTCACTTTGTTTCTGTTACATGTTTTGACCTTTTCTTAGTATCTTAAAACACAGAAAAAGTACATTATTTTTAAAAAGGAGACCCATAGGGGAAAAAAGTATAAGGAAAATGGATTTCTTCTTTCTCTTCTACCATCAAAACAATACAACGGAAAACAGCGACAAACAACTTCTGTGGGGACCAATTTTTATTTGATCACACGTTCTTGGGTAATCACATACTTCAAAAAATGTGTCCTCTTTAAGTCTACTTCTTGGAAAACAAAGCTCTAAATATATATTCACATGTATTTATGATTTACTTATATTAAGTAGGAGCCCTGGTGGTGCAGTGGTTAAGAGCTACAGCTGCTAACCAAAAGGTAGGCAGTTTGAATCCACCAGCTGCTCCTTCAAAACCGTATGGGGGCAGTTCTACTCTGTCCTATAGGGTCGCTATGAGTTCGAATCAACTCGATGGCAATGGGTTTGGTTTTTTTGATTCATATTAAATAAGTCACAAAAGAATAAATCAGTGGTACAGCCAATGAACCAGTAAGGTACTATTTTGTAGTAGCAGACATGAGCTTGACATGCTCATTAATTTCAAGGTGGACATGTTGAAGGAGTACCTGCAGCAACACAGGAATCTCAGGTAGGCCTATATGTATGTGTTGCCCAAGCCCAGAGTCTTTGGGACTCTTGTGCATGCCTATTATCAATGGCTAGATTGCAATGCCACTAATAGTAGCATCTGAGTAAGAATTCACCAGAAAGTTCAGGATAGCAAAAAACTTACTCTTTTGGTGATATGGCATAAAGATGCAGACCTCAAATTAATTGAAGAGTGAAAGCATCAAGAGGGGAAAATAGGAAACAAAAAGAACCAGCCTAGCAAGCTGTTTTATAGCTGCATCTCAAATGATGGACAGGAGATTTGATGCTTCCTCCCCCACTGAGAAGAATTATAATAGGGTCACTGTTACTAATGGTATCATAGTCCTCAGATGTGTTAAGGTAGTAAATGTAGAGAACAATTTAAACATAACTGAGTATGTGCTACATTTTTTTTTACATGAGAAAAGATAGTTCCAAAGAAGAAAGCAAGAAGAGCAAACATGTGACCAATTAATTGGTATTAACTGACACTAATCTACTATGTGCAAAGCCTTATTCTGATTGCTGTGAGAGCAATAAATTTAAGGTACGGTCTATATTTTTTAGGAGCTTAAAATTTATTTGGGGAAGTAAGCCATTACTCCAGCCAAGTTAATTTAAGGCATGCATGGAGCCAGGCCAAATGAGCACTAGACAATACACACTATGGGAGTTTGGAAGAGACAGATATCACTGCCAGCTGGGCTGGAAGTTTTCCTTTGCTGGCATTATTCTTAATCCAACCACATAAATAATTTTTGAAAGAACAAAAGTATAATATCAAGAAAGATGGAAAACCAAAGTCTATATATATAGTCCCTTTCTAGCATGTTTCAAGTATCTTCTGTTATTCTAATAATAATTTTTCATCAAAGGACTACTGTGGTCAAATTTATAAAACATATGCAACTAGTACAATGAATCTGTTTCCAGTGTTTATAAAACAGCAACAGGAAACATGACAATTTTTCCTGTCTTTCATATTCAACAAGTTCAATGTATGGCATTTCCCTTATAATTCTTTCAAAACAAAACATAATTGGTAACACTTAAATGTGTTTCAAACCTCTGTCTCTTCTGTGGTCATAGTATTTATGTTCATTTTAATTAGTTAAGATTTTTAAGCGATCTGTCCCACATTCTTTATTCCCTAAGAAACTTCTAGGGAAAAAAATGCTTCAGGAAACACATAACTTAATGAACACACAAGATGAATTAAAAAATAATTCAAGAAGTAATAGGAAGCCTTTAACAAATGAACTATCCCTCAGTGATGGATATCTGAATTTAGGCATATAGCAATAAATAGAATGCTTTGTGTGGATTAAAGTACATCTGCCACTGAACATGTTGTCCAAAAAAACTTTCCAAAATAAACTTAAGTGAAACACAAAAAGGACAACTGGTACAACCAAAAGTAAGATTGTCACATACAACTATATAGTCTGATACCTCCACTATAGTAAAGCTTAGTTTATTAAGAGGTGTCTGACCTGAATTCAGTATTATGACAAAGAGCTCAGAAAATGAAATGTTCTCTAAGAACAAACACAGAGTGTTTCAATCTAGGAGTGAGACATATAACATATAACCACTTGCTAAGTATTTATCAAGAAGCCCTGGTGGTGCGGTGGTTAAGCACTCGGCTGCTAACTGAAAGGTTGGTGGTTCAAACCCACCAGTTGCTCTGTGGGAGAAAGATGTGGCAGTCTGTTACTGTAAAGATTTATAACCTTGGAAACTCTATGGGGCAGTTCTACTCTGACCAACAGGGTTGCTACAAGTAGGAAATGACATGACAGCAACTCGTTTTTAAGTGTTTATCAAGTATACAGACACTGGAACAAATTTTACACAGTAGTGCAGCTCCATCATCTAGACTCCTTTTCCCTGCTGTTGTCTACTTGGTATCATGCTTCTGAGGTACGTATAGCTTCATGCCTTCCTTCTAAATGCCACTCATAAGAACTTTCGTTCGCCTTGGAAATAGGTAGCTGATGATTTCATGAATCACGTATGCAGGCAGTATTTACTGACTAGGTACATGTTTGGATTTCATTTCAAAGTATATCAAAGTATCAAGATGGTGAGGTTAGTTTTCAACAAATATGAAAACACACAACTTACCCACATGCAGGCCTCAATCCTAACTTTTGAGATGATGCTCCACAAAGAAATAGCTCCTTCAATGTTCTCTTCATCTGGACAAATAATCTGATCAGGGTAGGGTGGTTCAGGGAAATTAACTGAATTACATTCGTAAGCAGCTAACGTAACTGAAGCTATATGTGGACCCTATAAAACAAATATAAGAAAACTGATCAGAAATATTAATGAACAAAAAGGAATCATCAAAATACGTTATTTTAATGATACCTTGATCACTATATACTTCAAAGCAACTTCCTTTGCCCCTATTTCTTTAGGCACAATTTAAGAATATCACTCTTTTTCCTTACTTAAAAACACCAGGTGAAGTAACCACCTCTTTCACCTTTCCAGTGAGATCCTAAAGCAAAAAATAAAACTATGGAACCAGGATTAGTGAGTAATAGAAACTTTTGTGCTGCACTGTATCTTTATTTTGAAATATTACAAATTAATAATAATGATATAAATTAAATTAGTATTTAGATGTGTGATAAAGGCTTCAACACAGTGGTTCACAAAAACACATATATACCAATGTGAGGTATCTGCATAAGAATCACTTAGGAAGCTTGTTAAAAATATAAATTAGTGGGTCTCCCATTCATAGACTGATTCAAAAGGTGGGGCTGGGAACCTGTATATTTTAAAACAAGCTCCTTCAGAGATTCTAATACATAGCTAGGTTTAGGAACCACTGGGAAAATAGTAAATTAAGAGAAAACTAGGAAAATAAGCAACCTTGGACAAGTCACTTAATTTTTCTTGCCCTCAGTTTACTCTGCTGCAAGATGAAGGAATTAGACTCATCTTTAAGGTTTTTCTCAACTCCAAAATGCTAGAACTCCAAATGTAATCAAATATGCCATTAAAATACAATACCAATTCCAAAGTTCTCAGGAGGTGCAAGATCTAAAAGTTGGACATTCCTAACTTGTTGCTATAACAAATATGCTAGTATAAATAATCACTTAAAAGCATGCTTTAGACAAAGTATATGGCACAGTGGCTAAAAGTATAGTCTCTAGAGCCGGATGGTTTGATTCAAGTTCTCTGCCACTTACCTCCTGAATGTCAGTTTCTTCATCTATAAAGTGGGAATAATAAAAGACCTATAGCACCTATGTCCTAGAGTAGCTGTGAGGATTAAATAAATTAATCCATATAAAATATTCAGTCTAGAACAGTGCCTGGCATATAGTAAGCCCTCAAATAGCTGTTATGAAGAACAGTTGTATATTTGTAGAATAAAATTATATGATTACATACATATAAATAAAAAACTTCCAATATTAGATTCTGTCATTAACCATATTAAGTGAATGTTTCTGACTTTGGAGGATTCCCTTAAAGATTTCTCCAATGATTTTTTCATAAATGAGTTAGTACTTGAGTACAGTAAGTGGTCTTTGTATATAACAGACTCTTTTGAAATTCCATCATGAAAGAATTTGTGGTTCACAGACACAGTGCATAAGACACAATGATGAAGATAAAACACTGAAGAACTCCTACCAAGGTACAAGGTAATAATGAAACAAACTTTTTTCCTATTAATATGAAAAAGAAAAATGTTCATCATTTAAGCAACATTTCTACTTAAATACAACAGACATTTTAAGTTAAAATAAAATCTAAAAAAATAAAGTTCTATACTTAGGACTGACTCAATTAACAATTAGGTTATTTCTAGACCAGAAAATCATTGTGAATATTTAGTTTTTGTCCCTCTTTTTCTTGGGTTTTAATTCTCTTGAAAAATCCATAAATGTTAATATTTAAGTTTTAAAAATTTAAAATAAAAAAGAATGCTTATGATTATTCCGGTTTTTAAAAGTTATGATTAATCACAAAATCTACAAATGATTCTTTGAATATCCTATGTGCATAAAAGAGATTTCACAACTGGAAATAAAAGGGATTATTTTGTAACTCTACTGAAAAAAATGAGTTTAAAGTTTGTGGTAGAATGACTGAATAACTAGTGAAAAATTTTTCACCATACAATGTCAGCTGTCAGATGCAATTAAAACAAATAACTGTAACTTCCACTGTTATTATTAGAAAACGTGAAAGAGAAATGTAGTGTCAATGAACAGTAAGTTAAAAAAAAAAAAAAAGAAATTCAAGAATTTGTCCCTGTTGGCTTCAGGCACAGTCTACAGCTGACCTGCAGTAGGACTTTCGAAACTAACTCTAAGTGATCAAAAATCGAACTGTCCTGGATGCTAAAATAATGAGATTTCTGAGATATACATGAAGGAAAAAGCTATTTTTCCATTCCACAAATACAGAGAAAATATATCCTATACCCCAACAGATTAAACACATTATCCAACAACATAAAAGATTTATGTATAGTTTTAATTTTAAGTGATTCTTAAAAGGGAAGTTTTCAGCAACCTGATCTGAGATTTTTTTTTTCCCCTAAAGAAAGGTCTGTTCATTCACACAACTAAACTGATACTTTCCACAACCGAATTAGGTCATGATTACTCAGGCTTAGAGGCAGATGAGTGGTTCCTAGACAAAATGAACATTAATAACTCAGCTTCCTGTCCTTTGTTCATTCTTAAGAGCCTGTTTAGCCTGTACCCTGAAATTTAAACTATGATAACTCATCGAAAATACTTCACAAATTCTTTTCAATATTATATCTTAATGGTTTCTAAACATAACCAACCTGAGTGGAATAAAGAAGTTTACAAAAAAATCCAAACACAAAAAACTAAAAAATAATTTTAATTAAAATAATATTTTAAAGTTACACTCATTCAAACTAACTTTTAAGTGTATTTTCTAAAAACTACAAGTCCCACTAGGATGTACCAACTATGAGACAGTCACAATTTAACCATATTAAATGAAGAAACACGAGAGTAAAGACAAACAGCTACAGTATAAACACAAAAGGCTAACTGGCTAGAGGCTAACCATCATAAAGGGTGTTTGATTAAATCAGAAAAAGAAATAACACATATTCTGAGCAGCAGGTTTGAGCTCTCACTACAGACATAGATACACATGGGCAGGCGATCCTGGCTGCGGGTTTCCTGCCAAGGATCATGATGAAGTAACTAGTACCAGACTTTCACTCCTACAGCAACCAACCAGAAAACTGGACAAAATATAACGAACAATTCTTTTCAGACATCGTACCACAGGCAGTACAGAACTTTCTGACTGTTGAGAGAAGGGGTACAAATGAGGAAACCTTTGATGACCCTGGGTTTTTCCCTGGAGACACTGGAAACATTCCAGTGCTTGATCCAGAGAGGGAGAGCACAGGCAGAGAGTGCATAGTGATCTTGCTGAGCTGAGAAAGAGATCTGAGCGCAGGGGAAATGAGGCAGTATTCAAATTAAAGGCCACAAAGAGAAAAGGCTGGGGAAGAAACGAATCTCTGCGACCTGTGGAACAATATCAATCCATCTAACGTACATGTAACTGGGACCTCAGAAGGAAAGAAAAAAGAGGGGGCAGAAAAAATACTTGGGAGACATTATGATCAAATATTTTCCAGATCTGATGAAAAACATCAACCTACAGATCCAAGAAATTCAGTAAACTCCAATCAGGATAAACACAAACAAAATACATAATCAAAACACTGAAAACCAGTGGGAGGAAGAAAATCTTAAAAGAAACTGGAGGGGATAAAAATAACACATTATGCACAGAGAAACAGACAACATCAGAAATAATACAAACCAAAAGACAATGGAATTACTGAAAGAAAAAAAAACTGTAACTTTTAATTCTATATCAAGGAAACCATATTTCAAAAATAAAGATGAAATAAAAACATTTTCAGACAAACAAAAGTTAACTGACATCACCAGCAGACCTGTACTACAATAAATGTTAAAGGAAGCTGTCAGGTGGAAGAAAAAATGATGCCAGAGGAAACTTGAGTGTACACAATGGAGTGAAGAACACTGGAAATATGGAAGACTTTTCTCCTTATTTTACAATTCGTTTAAAAGATAACTAGTTATTTGAAGCAAAAACTATATCAAAGTATTCCAGTTTATAACGTAAGTAAAAGAAAAATGTATAAGAACAAAGGATGAAAGAAAATGACGTATATTACTGTAAGGTTCTTACATTATATATGAAATGATATAATATCATTTGACAGCTGACCATGATAAATTAAAGATGCATACGTTCAGAGCAACCACTAAAAAAAAAATAATTAAAAAGAGGTATAACTAGTAAGCCGATAAATAAACGTTAAAAAAAAAAAAAATCAATCCAAAAGAGGAAAAGGAGTAAAAAAAATAGATGGGACAAATAGCTGATGGTAGACTTAAATCCAACCATACTGATAACTATTATTAAATATAAGTGGTCCAAACATACAAATGAAAAGGCAGAGACTGTCAGACTGGATAAAATACAAGACCTAGGTATGTGCTGTCTGTAAGTTACTCACTTTAAATAATAATCATCAAAAAGATAGAATGGTTATAAGTAATATCAGACAAAGCAGACATCAGGACAGGGAATATTATCAGAGATGAATAGGGACATTTTATAATGATAAAATGGCTTATTCTCAGGAAGACAGAACAATTCTAAATGTGTATACATCTAATAACAGAGCTTCAAAATACATAAAGCAACAACTGAAAGAAGAAATAAATCCACAGTTACAATTGGAAATTTCAACTCTCTCTCATTACTTGATAGAACAAGAAAAATAAGACTGAAAAATCAGTTCAGACATACAAGACTTGAACAATACTAAACACTGCACCCAACAAGAGTCAAATGAACACATTCTTTTCAAGTACATCTGAAACATACACTAAGACAGACCATATGCTATGCTATAAAATTAATAAATATTAATAATTAATTTTAATTATCATTAAATATTTAAGTAAATAAAATTAATAAAATAGTAAGAATAAATAAATACAGTTAAAAGGATGTCCAATGCTGCAAGTTGAAGATCAATAAAGAGAGTACTTCTTAAGGAAAAGTGGCAAATGATGGACTTCAAAGGGTAATATCCCCAGTTGAGGACAGTGACTTTTGGTTTATGTGAGGGTAACCAAAGAAAGTCAAATAGTTGTATACAGCATGAATTGTTCTTCCTGGCACAGGGGGCTCTATAAATTTCCTACTTAGCTACCAGG